TTTGGGGGGCAGCGACTGGTGGGGTGGGGGGTGGAGCTGCTGTGGGGGGGCAACTTCAGCCTCATCCACATCCATACGGACACCCCCTCCTTGCTGGTCAGGCCCCTGCTGGACATGCTGGGCCTGCTGGGGATCAACCGGAAGAGGCTCCGGCTCTTTCACCAGGAGCAGATTGTTGACGTTGCCGAGGGGGTCACGGATGCTGTGCTGGGCGTCGTCATGGCGCCACTCCCCGTCCACAATGAACTTGTACTGCAGAGGAGAGGCCGCAAAGCAGTTCACCATCTGCGCACTACGATCAATACAATCTTCCAAAAGTACTGCTAAGGAAACGCCCAGTCAAGACATCCATCAACTTATACCAAGTCAAATGCGTAATGCATGCTGCCGATCGCTGTTTCTGAATGAGCACCACAGCTTGTACGTTAACGGTCAGCACGAAATCCGGCAAATTGCAAGGTACGCTCCCCGGGGCCACTCACCTGGTGGTAGCCAGGAGGCAGACTACAGACGACAGCGAACCAATTGTGGTGCCCATCTACCGGCGACATGGGCAGTGTTTCTCGCCACCTGCACGTACAGACATTTGCTTCGCAACTTCTGCTGACACTCAACCAGTGACCCACTGGCCAGCTTTTGTCACCAAATTCTGCCTCGGAAGCACAAACAATCCAAGGGAGGAATGCGAGCAGAAATAACATGCGATGAAATGTGAGGAAAACAGGAGGAGAAACAGGAAAAAGCAACAAAAAATGTTAAGAAACCCACTCAAGGCGGCTTGGAAACTGCCAGATGTACAGCCGTGAGCACAAATGCACTGTAAGCGCAACTGACTTGCCCAAAATGCAGTAAGTGGTCTACGGTCTACGGTCTACGGTCTAAAAAAATGAGCACAGAGCAGTAAGTAAGCTATTGCTGGCAATCTGGACACCAAACAACGAAATGATGACACTCTACGCAAAAGTTGAGGCTCGTTCAAGATGGCAAGCACGTCAAACCATTACCAATTGTTCAGTTCCCAAGGCTGCTCCAAGAAGGATACCAATATGGCCCACCAAGGTCCTCACATTGAGCTTGAATATAATGACAGAACAGACAGCTCAAGTCTCACCTGGTGAATGAGCCGCACAAGTGAACATGCCTTCCTCCATAAGGCCACACAAATCTTGTCGGTATGAGGATGGCACCCTCCCCGTACATCGTGACTTCTGTCTAAACTCCAACAACAGGTGGATAGAAATCTCAATATGCCGTGGACATGTCTCCTACATGCTGACTGAAGGTTGTCCCCTGGTGCTCATAAAGCCCTCCGAAATTCCTCTAGAACACCGAATTCATCTTAGAAAAGCAGTGTCCTACCGGAGCACCTAGCGGCCCCTGCCAGCGTTTTGAACAAGAAAGACCACACAGATTGCATTTCCCTTCGACTTTTCCTTACAATCTCAGCACCAAGTTCCCTGACCGCCGAGCTCAAGACTGACCCGTTTCTAAGTTGAGATGTTTACCGCTTGCGCCAAAAGCCTGAGCTTCTCTGCATTGACACTGCGATCCCTCCTTGCACCTCGCCCGCCAAGAAAAGGTAAAACAGGGGAGTTTCAGCAGCAAAATGCCAGGCGGCCGATTATGATTGTGCACTCAGCGCGCCATCTTCCTCATGTCAAACTAGGGCAGAGTGCTTTTTGCCGCGACAGTGGACGAAGTATATTAATCACGGTAGAGACGGCGCCGTCGTGGCAAGAAGGCACTTGAGAATCAGAGACTCTCGTGAACTCCCAGCCAGAGAAAACAACTTCTCTGTTCAATAGCTCGCAAAAGTTGTAAAACCGACGGCTACAGATCGTCGGCGGGTTCCAGATTTAGTCTGTTCAGAGTGCCACGTAGGCTTATCCATGCCCCCCCCATCGCAGCGTGGATGTAAATCTGCAGCGCGCTAGGAAAGAAAAGCAGGTGACGTACTGAACTGCAAAGCGCCTTGAAAAGGCGACTTTTTGGCGCCTGCAAATGCAGCAGTGCGCACGGTAGAGGGTCACGTCGCTTAGTCAGGAGGCGTCTAGTTTCGTATCTTTATAGTTAGCCCTGTGAACCTCGTTGATCACTGTCTTTTGTGGTTGCTGAGCAGCTGGATAGAATTGTTGCACAATGGCGGCTTCCGTTGCTGGTCGGCGTTTGGGCTCTCAGCTGAATCGGTTTGTAGCAACTTTGAGGCCTCTGTCGGTGAATTCCGGAAACGCTTTGCAAGCGACGCGGGATTTTGGGGTAAGTGGCTGCTGAACGCCCAGTAAAGTCCAGCAAAAATCTGCCCAATTGGGCTAGGATGCGCTCACAGAGTGTCTACTTCTGGGCTGTAAGTTGAGAACAACTGAACTTTGGCAGGGAGTGGGGTTTACGCTGCGAACTGCTGAAACGTTCCGGGTAGAGAGGTTGGCGCTGCGTTGCTTCTCCGTGTGCATATGTGAAAATTCGTTTCGTCTTTATGCCGCCTCGAGCTTCTTGAAAGCCAGTCTAAGTGGGCTTCCATCTTCAACCTGGTAAGTGGTGGACGCTCCGCCGTTGTACGCCTATTATATGTTTCTTGCCTGAAGACTTTGGGGCTGGGAAATCCTTCCAGATCTCGGTATCACTCAATCTGGATGATACCTGTCAAAGTTGGTGTCCAAGCATTTCGCTTTTTCTGCTCCTGACAGGTTGGTACAAATGAGGATGCATATGCCCAGCTTGACAGCAAGAAAGGGGCGACGGTGAGTTTGTATCTTTCTCTATAGCACCATTTGTGGTGAAGATCGATCGCAGGCTTGTGTGAAATTGCGCGCAACAATTGCACTATCCATCATAAGCCTCTCTATCACTGAGGATCATGCAATTGGAAGAATTGTAATACTAATAGTTGCTCGCCTTTTCTCTGATACAGTTGCTGTGTTTTTGTCTGCAGTGGCCTCGGTTTCTAAATAAGCCACTAGCAGAGGTGGATCCCGAGTTGAATGACATCATTGAGAAGGAGAAGAATAGGCAATGGAAGGTACGGGAAGGCTTTGCTGCAAGTTGATGCCTGCGCGAACACACCCAGATTGCTTTTGTCTGTCTACCCTGGGGAGTTTTGTGCGAGTGGTTGCTTGCAAGATGCATGAAGCCTGGGGTGATTGTCGCTCCAACCGCCTGATATTGTGTTGGAAAGGGGAGGATTCTGGACAGTGGCTTCTTGATTGTGTGTCTGATAATTCTTAGGTGTTCTCTTTCCAAATTTCTGGAAGGTGCTTGGATTTCAGTTTGGTTCTGCACCTACAGTCGTTCTCATATCTCATATCTGGTACGTCTTTTCCGTCCAGGGGCTCGAGCTCATCCCTTCAGAGAACTTCACTTCTTTATCCGTGCTCGAAGCGGTGGGGTCAGTCATGACTAACAAATATAGTGAAGGTTACCCTGGGGCGAGGTACTATGGTGGCAATGAGTAAGTTAATCAGATTGATGCTTCTGCTCAATCATTTCATCCTTGGATGTTCAATTGCACAATATTATGGTTGCAAAAGCCTATAGTGAAAGTTTCCAATAGTTGCATGAAGGGTTCATAAGTATTGAACTTGGTTTCCATGCTGGTTGCTGCCGCAAAGATCGATCACAAAGATCATAGTCGGTTCTATATCCTTGTGGACTGTTTGGTGTGCAGGTTCATTGACCAGGCAGAACTCATGTGTCAGGAGCGCGCGTTGAAAGCCTTTAGACTAGACCCCGAGCAGTGGGGAGGTGAGATGCCGAAGAATAGCCCTTTCCTTCCAGTGCCAATGTTGAAGCAAACTTGCCGGAAGGAACTTGCAAGAAGCAAGGTCCGCAAGCATCACTCTGGGTTTGTCAAGAATCCAGAGCCTTTCCGAAGTTTTTCAGCGAGCTCTTTAAATCCTTTGTCGTTGTGGGATGGGAATGTACAATTTGGGCTGTAGTTGGACTAAATGAGCCAAGCAGGGCTTGTAGTGGAAGCAGCTTCATTTAATTGCCCCTGCTCTGCAGTGAACGTGCAAGCTCTTTCCGGGTCTCCAGCCAACTTCGCGGTCTACACTGCCTTGCTGAAACCCCACGAGCGAATCATGGCACTTGACTTGCCGCATGGGGGTCACTTGTCTCACGGGTATCAGGTAAGTAGAGGGCGGTGTGTCAGTCAGGTCCTTCATGCCGACAGCAATGATCAGATTGCTATCTGTTGGATGCAGTTATCACCACTGTCTCCTCTGATCATGCGCCAACAGTCTGGAGGAGAAATCACACGTGTTGTGGTGTGAGCCTTGACTTCTGACGGAACGCGCTTGTCAGCTCAGACTCGCTTGTTCTTTTCAGTAGCAGCTCATTGATGTCCGAGTGTATCTCGTATCTTCAGGGCCAATTTTGACGCTCAAGAACACCTATTGCTGCCTGTCTTGCAGACTGACACTAGGAAGATCAGTGCCGTCTCTGTATATTTCGAGACTATGCCCTACCGCCTGGATGAGAAGACAGGGTACATCGACTACGACACTTTGGAAGCGAACGCGAAGCTCTTCCGGCCAAAGATCCTCATTGCTGGCTCAAGTGCGTCTTCCAGGCACATTGACTACGCAAGAATGAGGAAGGTACGGCTTTATCTGCCCACCTGACTTGAGCAGAACGTCCTGATGTCTCGTTTGATGGGGTGGTGTTTCGCGCACATTCAGGCGTTGTGATGTGATGCTGCGCATGGGAATTGCCCCTTGCAATGACGGTGGTCTGCTTGAACAGGGGCTGGCTTGCAGGACCGTTTGCCGACTCCTCCGATTGCTACGAATGCAGTTGCAGGCCAGTGTTGGAGACCCGAGCTCTACTTGTACAGGCCGTCATATGGCATCCAAGGATTTGTTTACTGGCCCTCTGCAACGGCATACTGAGCATGTTTTCCCCATGTTAATGGCATTGGCGTTCATTTGCAGGTGTAATTATAGTTCGCAGCACTTTCTGTCATCATAATCCTTCCAAGGCAATTTCCGCGCCCAATGCTTGCGCCTTCTTGTGCAGATTGCTGACAACCAGGGCGCCTATCTTCTGGCGGACATGGCTCACATCAGCGGCCTCGTGGCTGCCGGTGTTGTGCCGAGCCCCTTCGACTATGCTGACGTCGTCACCACCACGACGCACAAGTCCCTGAGGGGCCCTCGGGGGTCCATGATCTTCTTCAGGAAGGGCTTGAAGGGAAAGGACAAGAAGGGCAAGGAGGTGAGCACCACTCCTCCTCATTTCCTGCGTCCGCTGGACCTGTCGCTTCACTACTTGGTAGTGTCTTCGACACTGTTTTTGCAGCTGTTTGACGGGATCGCAAAGGACGTGGTAAACGAGTTCGCAAATAACGTGGCACATGAGCTTTCCGAAGACTCACAAGGCTTCGGAGCACTGGTCAATTAGTGCATGACATTTAAGCTGCGGCCCAGGGGTGCCTTGTTGGGCCTCAAACCTTCAAGGGTTCCTGTTGTGTAGTGTTCAAATTGGTCATGTCAGTGTAAGCTATTTCTGACGCTCTTCCTCCTCCTCCGTTGCTCCTCTGCGTTCGACTCGAACCACTGAGCGGCCCGCTTGTTTTGTTGCGTGCATTCAGATCTACTACGACTTGGAGGACCCTATCAACTACGCGGTGTTCCCGCGGTTGCAAGGTGGCCCTCACAACCACACCATCTCCGCACTGGCTGTCGCCCTCAAGCAGGTGAATAAAGACGGAAAGGACCGCTTGGTTTGGAAATGCTTTCTCATGCAAGTTACTTTTCACAGTCGCTGTGTGCAGGTCGGAAGCTTCCTGCACTTGCACCTTCCAAGTGGTTTGACTTTCGTCAAGTTTGGATGTTGTTAACCATTGGTCGCGAGTGGTTCCGCATCGCTGCAGTTTCATTTGTTGTCGGAAGGCGGTTTTTTCACGGCCCCAGCTTGTGCGTTTTGAATTGCAACCAGTTGAATGTTCCCTTGAAACGACGGATCTCAATGCTTCTTCCTTGTGCAGGCTGCCGGCCCTGAGTTCAAGGCTTACCAAGAGCAGGTCGTCAGCAACTCGAGGTCGTTTGCGAAGGTAAGCTGCTCACAGCTGGCTGTTGGTTCGGAGACAGTCTAGGTTGCACCTTTCAACCTGCCTTCGACATACGAGGCCCCGACAGTGGCCGAAGTTCGATGTAGTCAGAATACTCTCGGTCAGCGAACAATCTTGTAACACCGGGAGCTGAGTGCAGGCGCTGATGGAGAAGGGGTACACTCTGGTCGCGGGGGGCACGGACAACCACTTGGTCCTCGTCGACCTGAAGCCCCAGGGCGTGGACGGGTCGCGGGTCGAGAGGGTGATGGAGCTCGCCCACATCGCCGCCAACAAGAACACCGTGCCCGGGGACGTCAGCGCCATGGTGCCGGGAGGAGTTCGCATGGGTGAGCCGCACCAGCATGCCTGGCTCTAGATTCTTCTAGGAAGTGGCCCGGTGGAGCGGGGCAGTAAATTTGGGTCGTGCGCTCACTTGCTGGGTTGTGGGAGGGCATACTTATCTGAGTCAATGAGAGATAAACGGGTTTTATCTTTCTAAGCCATGGTCTCTTCTCTTAGTCCCCTGCTAGGAACAAAATCGTAAGTACCGAGTTTTAAATTGGTTGCTACATGGATTCTTTAGCAGGATCCTGGAGCATATAAGAAGTCGCCTTCCTTACTTTGCAGATTTTTTTTTAGGTTTGCATACAGTTAATTGCACAACAAAAATTGCACAACAAAAGTCGCCTGCAACACCTACCCCGTCGAAAGCAAAGGTGATCTTCTGTAGAAGTGCCGTTTCGAAGAAACAGATGTGCGCAGAACCGTCGGCAGGTGCGATGCGCGCCGTTGGATCGCTCTACTGGCATCAAATGGTCAAGGCCAGGTTGTGTTATCGTTGAACCTGCAGTTTCTTCGGTGTTCTTTCAGTTCATTTTCGTGTATTGACCACGCTGTATTTGCAGGCACCCCCGCGTTGACCACCAGGGGTTTTGTTGATGAGGACTTCGTCAAGGTTGCTGACTGCTTCGACAAGGCTGTCAAGATTGCAGTCAAGGTCAAGAAGGAAGTTGGTAAGGCAGCTTTTTCCTGAACGCTCCAACAGTCGATTCTCGCCCCACGAAGGTAATTGTCGGGTTTGTTGTTGTCTCGACGTCATCTCGGTGATTGTGACTTCTCGTGAAAGTTCAAGGAAATTCGTGCATGATGTTGTGGTTTTAATCAGTTCTTGAACCATCATCAGAAGCGCACACGGAGTCGCTTGGCTGCTCAAATAGCTCTCTTCTATAGCCTCTCAAAATACATCTTGTCTTGCAGGGGGCAAGCTCAAGGACTTCCGTGAGGCGGTTGAGAAGGACCCCTATAAGTCTGACATCGACTCACTAAGGCAGGAGGTTGAGGAGTTCGCGAAGCAGTTCCCTACAATTGGCTTTGAGAAGGCCGACATGAAGTACACCGACTAGACCATGCAAAACATTTTTGCAAGGTAACACGTTCCATGAGTGACCGAGGTGCTCTCTCTCTTCAGGCATTACCTTGCTTATCTCAGAAGGAGCTAGGTTTAGTGCTTCCAAGGTTTTAGATAAGTGGATCTTTGAGACCATCAGAGTACTGGCAATGTTACTCATATTGGTATGCCACCGGGGACGACATGCACCATATTTGTGTACATACCAGCTTATGCCGGTCGTTTGTCTGTGGCGGTCGCCGCGTCTGCAATTGATCGGATCAATTATTCCTTTCGAGGATCGGAGGTTATGCATCAAGCATACATGCATTGAGATGATCGTGTTTATTTAGTGGCAAGTTTAGCATGTAACACACATATATATACGAAATTCTAATCCATATGCAGTGGAGTAAGCTCAATCAAAGAAAGTGTGCAGCGATCCGCAAGTGCCGCAATGTTCCGAAATGAAGCTTTCCGAAAGCTGGTGAAGCTAGTTCACACGGGCCTGCATTTAAATCGTTTTGGCATGACCATGCAGCCGGACCGTCTTAGTGGTGAAAACTTCAGCTGCACAATCCTATAGTATCACTGCAGCTGCGCGACGCGATCTGACTATATATATAAACTTTGGCTCATTTACCAGGATGTAGCCGGTTGCGCCATGCTTGATGTTTGACCATATACAAGGCCCAGCTCCGGTGCAGTATTTGTACTGCAACTAACGGGACGATCGACACAAGTAAGAGGACTCCGGAATCGACTGATTGCATCATGGCGTCACTCCGGGGCGCCTCATGACTTCAAATAAAACCTGCGGCAAGGCATTGAGGGAGCAGGCTGTATATTGCAGCATACACCACCCCAATAAGCTCGTTGCACAAACCTCAGGCTCTATTACTTCGTCTACGCAAGCGCTGTACGCCACAGCTGTGAAGGGCGTCACCAAGAAGCCCCCTAGAAGCCCCCTATTTCTACAATATACACAACGTTTAACACAAAGACTCCACCACAAGAGCGACATTTACAGGATGACGCAGCAACTGTTGGCCTTCTTTGCTTGCTTATAGAATACCTGTACGAATGTAATACATGGTTTAGACAACAGGTTTCTATTTGTTCGAGACACCCTTTCCTTTGCTTGATTCGAAGGCTACCATCAAATATAAAACAGCTCGTATGTAGAAGCTTGACCAACTTGATGTGAGAGATCAAGAACAACATGACGTGGAAAACATGAGGGCAATTTGCAATCGTAGTGACCTCACCTGTGATGCCATGCTCAAATCCGTGCTCTTCTCAACAAGACTGTCAAGCTTCTCCCCCCGGGCTAAAACACTGTCAATCGTCTTGTGCTGCACGACAGAAACTCGTCTCGATTAGAGTCCATTCAGAGTCGCCCTGCTGATCTTGGTAGGAGAGAATTGGCAGGGACATCGGTTCAACAATGAGCGCCTATTCGTCTTACTCGACATTCAATTTCGCCGCATGAACAACATCGGCGAAATGTTGTCGATAATTTCGAGCGATTTGGGTACTTCTCTGGACAGCAGACACCAGTTACGCACAGTTCATGGTGCAACGTTTACAAATCTGCAACAAGCACTAAACTAATTCACTGGAATTGCGAACCAAGCCTTTCAATCTTGACTCACCAGAATAATCTTCGTTTCGTCCAGATCCCGCTGTATCTTCGTAAGCTTGTCCGCTTCGGAAGGATCCTGCCCAAAAAACAACATGGCTTTTGGGAAAGCTTAGAATAACCTGTGACCTGGATTGAAATTTCGAAACCATGACCAAATTCGACTTACGAAGTTCCCCAACTTGTACCAAGGGAGGGGTGAAACTGGTTGCGAACACGTGAACTTGCAATTCATCCGTCCAGGAAAGCTCACCTGGTATTTGACGAGCGCCTCTTGGAGCCATGGTACAGAGTCTTTGTTGTCTGTTGTAATACTTGACCAGGAACCGACCGCCTGCCTCTCATACTCTTCCAGAATCTGCAACAAAAACGTACGTCCTATCGGCACAGGTTTGCCATGGAACTGAACCTCGTCTTTTCGCAATAGTTCAATGCCTGAACGCGCCAATCTTTCAATTGGTGTTTCGAGACGGTTTTATTGAGCCCCAAGGCGGCATGTGGACACAGCCAAACTCGCCATCTTTTGTTGACAAACTGCATCAGCAAAGCCCAGTTATGAACAGGAGAACAAACATCGCCAGAAGAACTTTAAGATAAGAACTTCTCAGGGCTGGCGCATGCTGCTTAGAAGGTGGGGGAAAGGAACAGGATACCGACAGCCCGATACTCAACCGTCAGGTTGATATGACGCCAGGAAAACTTGTTACTTACCAGTTCGTTCCCTCTGAGCACATCCTAAAAACGAGACGGCATAAAATGGATGAATGTCCAACTCGAACTGCGACTGTCCACCCATATCTTCAGGACTTGAGGCTCTAGAGGGACCCGTGTGGTCAGATGGTGGCAGGTTCATTCCCCTTTGGTTAAGTGCTGCCTTTCATTGTGTCAGAACCTCAAGCTGCCATGCTCACCTTATTGATGACTGAAAACGCCCCTCGAAGCGGATACGCTCTGTCAACAAATGCTAACCCGAGCAGACCGTTTTTGTTGTAGCAATGAACCATGTACTCTGTAGAGTAAGAACGAAGAAAGTCAGTGCGTCCAGAAAGCATTAAAACCAGCTGAAGCCCTTGAGGCCCCTTGAGGGGCAGACTCTAGCAGGCTGGACTGCAATGAACGGCAGCAACTTCTGTACTCTGACACCACAGCAACCTTGCAATAAAAGACACCCGCCGCTGGTGCAAACACTAGGCTCCATCTGTGATCTTAGTTATTGAACCAAGATCGCCTTGTGCAGTCCTGACAAGATGGAACACTGCTCACCTTCATGCTCCACACTTTGCCGTCGTTGCAGGGGAGTCCTCTTACCAACCGTCCTTGAAACAAAGATGATCATTTCTCGGACAGAGCTCCGCTGGAAGTACCCAAAGTTGCTGACGTCACTCGCGTTTGCAAGGAGAGTAGGGTCTGCGGTATCGCCATTGAATTTGAGGATCGTCAGTGCCGTGATCTTCATCGTTTGTCCTTGTTGAAGACACGCTGCTCAAGCTTTCTACAAAAGTGCGAACAGTACTTTCATGCAGCGATGGATTCTGACCTGAGATGGCTAACTTCAGCTGGAAATAATGTGAATCAAAACCAAGGCGCATGTCCACCCCTGCAACTTCAAGAAGGATCTGAAGCCTGAAGGCTCCTGATCTCACGTTTCCAACAGAGAGAGCATGGGGAAAGAGGTTCCGTATCAACCGTAGAGTGTGGGGAAGAAGAATTGCACTGTACGCATGACGAGAACCCTAAACGCGTACGTCATACACCATGTTTTGTCTGGCCCGCCGCCCAGTTCTGCTTGCGGCTGCCTGGTGCCAGCATGGCACCAGGTCCTTGGAAGTTGGGTCCAGCTCATTGGGATCAGCATTTGTCCCTGATAGTTAATTATAATAGGCTGTAGCGGTGCCATTCCGGTTCGCATCAGGAGCCTTCATGCAGGTGTGAAGCTCCTCCTTTTGCTCTTCCATTTTGATTGGAACAAGGCAACCTTGTTGCAGCTGGCAGCAAAAATGGACGCGCTGCTTTCGACTGAGGGGTTTTTGGAGGTAAGTCATTTCGTGGTCCTGCTGACCACTCCTGGTTTTCGCCTCCAATCTAAAGTGGCAGAAATGCTGTGGAGTTGTGTAGCCTAGCTGTAGATCTGAACGCTGATGCCCAACGGGCTCCCTTGGTGGTGCGGAGAAAAGGGGATGAGGATGGAGCTGGTTGAGCCTGCCAGGCGCGAGAAAGGATCCATTGTAACTAGTTCTTTTTGGCCTTTCATATTCAAGGCAGATCTGAAACAATTGCTCAGCACTTGGGCATAGGACACTCACTTGAAAAGTTTTCATTCAATCTGCTTTGGTGATGAGCTTGGCCATACACCTGAATCTTTTGCGCCCCGACCCTCCATTAAAGTACAGCGTCAACGACCCTGGCAACATCCTTAACTTGCACAGTTCCGTATCATGAAATCCCTTTTTGAATGCAGGGGTTTGGAAAGGCCACCTCCATGATCATCTTTTCTGGTGAGTCGAGACTTTGGAACCCAGCTACACAGTCCCACTACATGGTCTGAAGTGAGGCCTACGGCCCAAGTCATTAAGGCCTGATGTGCTTGATGAAAGTTTTTGGAAGTGCTCGTATTTCAAGGACTTTTCAGAAGAAACAGGTTCAATACTTGGTGGTATGTTTCATCCTTTGAATCATGTTGTGATCTGGTATATCGTGTTTGAAACTACGCATGTGTGACAATGCTGAGGATTTTCTTTGCAAGCATGAACAGTTTGCAACACGATCCTCTTAGTTGTCTTGTCGTGTCTCAACTTGCACCACCCAAGTCAATACAGCAGAGCCCAAACAATTGTCATTTTATAGTTGTTTGGACCTCCCATGTCCTCACAAGTCTTATCCTTTTTTAAGTCTTGCACTTTTATCCTGCAGAGATTGGTGACAAGACGTTCTTCATAGCTGCTCTGATGGGCATGGCCCACCCATTCCACATCATCTTCTTGGGTTGTGGGGGCGCTCTTTGGATCATGACTCTGCTGTCAGTGGCCCTAGGCTGGGCAGCGCCGACGCTGGTAAGTACAGAGTACACAGGCTTTGCAGTAGTTCTGGCAGAATCCAGGATAATTGCCTGTCGCCAGGGTGTTGGGAATCATTTCAGCTTGTTTACATTGATTGAAACTCTCAGTAAGAGCTCTAATGAGTAGTTCAATGTGCAGCATGTCGAGATTGCTTGCTTGGTACACTTGCTTTGAACAACTTGCTAACGTGGTCATTCTGCCTATGTTGCTATTTACAGATTCCAGCGGACGTCACGCACTACTTAGCCACCGTGTTATTCTTCGGATTCGGGTTGAAGTCGCTGTATGACGCCTTCACGGGGGAAGGGTGAGCAGCCTCGCCACAGCTTACACATAGGCGTGCTTATGACTCCCCACGATTGGAGTAATTGTTTCTGAACTCCTAAGTTAATCGAAAATATGTATCGCTGATTACTCGAGTTGTATAGGGCCTTCCTGGTGCCTTCCTGGGGGCGGATTCACTGAATGCTTTGCACCTTCTGCCCGACTGTTACTGAAAGTCACCCTGTCTCGTTTAAAATGGTTACTCGATTCTCAATTGCAGGGAGAGTGGAGAGTTGGCAGAGGTTGAGGAGCTCGTGGTGAACTTTCGCTCTGACACAGAATGTCCCAATTGGTGTCTCTCTGTCGGCGCATATACCAACCCAATGACAAGCGACAGTCCCTTGCATGCCAGCCAACACCCAGTCTCTTAAGTGAGGTGTTACACAGTTAGTCACTGATAATCGGATTAGTGGCTTCGATTGACGCCGTTGATATCATGCCATGAACTTGATATAAAAGTTTTAGAGTGACCAATTGTCGGTTTTGTGGCTTCTTTTGGTGGCTACTGGCTTCGACGAGACGAAAAAGCTTCGTTTGCGTGTTTTGCAGGGTGGAAATAGCAAAGCCGTCAAAATTGGCAAAGAGAACGGGGAGGTAAGCAGGGTCCGGGCGATCCACGATTGGGCTGATTAATGCTCGTGTGGAAATCTTACATCAACGAAGTTGACATTGGCCTCTCGTGAAACTTTTGTATGGCTCCGTCACTGAAGTACGATCCGCGCAGCATTGAAACAAAACGCGAACTATTTTCAGCCAATGTCTTTCAGCCGATCAGTGGTTCACACTTGCTATCGTGTGCAAGGAACTTTCACCGCTTGGTTCGTTGCTGAAGATCGTTCAGAAAATCTGGCGCCTGACCTTGCTGCTGCGCTGTCCAGGAGAAGTCCAAGGAGAAGCCGCTCCTTAGGAGTATGTTTTGGTTCTTGTCACCCGTCTTTTTGAAGGTGGGTAACACTCCCGAGACCCAAGCCCCTTCCCTCTGCTGTGTCCAGGCAGCCTTTTTAGCGTAAAGTTTGCGCCGGCATCTGTCGCGTTCAGCAATGCAAATTTTCCTGTTGGACTCTCGGGATATGTCTATCAGTTGATGCCTGTTGGCTCTTCGGTTTGTTGTGGTCAACGGTATTCAGTCAGGTCGAGCCCGCGTCTCAAAGAGCCGGCTCGTTGTGTCGTCTTGTCCCGCAGGCATTCTCGCTCACCTTCTTCGGGGAATGGGGTGATCGGAGCCAGATTGCGACCATCGGTTTGGCGGCCCAGGACAGCCCGCTCGGGGTCGCGGCAGGGGGCTGCTTGTGAGTGCACCCCGCCATCGACGCTTCACGGAGCCACGTGGTTCCGGGTCCGGCTGTGTACAGCCCCCTCTGAAAATGGCATGTAGATTGCAGTTTGGGAAGCGCATGGCAGGCTGTCTAGACTTCTGCAAGGTGCTTTGTAATCTTGCTGTATGTCCAGTCTTTGAGTTGCCACATGTTATGGGTCTGTCCTACACAAGTTCCTCTGAAAGCCGTCCAATCCTCCATGCATGGAGTAAGGCACGTCATGTTCTTTGCCGGGTCTGTCGTGGATTGAGTCAAAAGAAGGTTGGTTCGAAAGCTGTCCGTCTTTACCTTGTAAGGTACGCCCGCTGTACGTATGTCATGAGTGGACTGGTTGCTTCTCCGCTGGACACTAATGCTACGAATTGATTCTTCTCATCACTCGTACGCTCTAGTACTGACTTGAGACCGGCCCACATATGTGGACGTACCCAGATCACCACGTGCAGTTTTTGGGTTCAGTTTGGATTGGTGGGTGAACGCAATAAAGTAAGCTGCCTCCCTGCAGCATCATTACAGGGAGTGTTCGGCGACAGTACACACCAGACTAACCCTCCGCAAGCATTGTGGTCTTTGGTCAATGCGCGTCTGTTCCGGCCCATTCAGTACGTGCGTACGTCTTTGCAGGGGGCATGCCCTGTGTACCGGTGCTGCTATCTTGGGGGGCAGGCACCTCGCATCCAGGATTTCGGAGAAGATGGTGAGGCAGTCTGCACGTGCCTCGAATCGGTCTCATCGTGACACGGGCCTCTTGGAGGTCACCTGTTTGTTAAGCGTTGGCAAACGGTATGCCATAACGGTATGCCATTCTTGAAGTACACCCCCGGTAATTTTGCCACATGAGTGAGGAGCAGAATGCAGCAAACAGTTGCAAAGCGTTACGCAACTTCTGCTTCTTTACGAAGTTAGTTTTCTTCGAAAACGCGGGCCCAAACAGCGGTGTGACGTCAACACAGTAGTGCTAATTGGGGCCAGGTATCGCATAAATTTCTTCTCTGCTCGTCTGAAGATACCTGGTGTGGCCTTTAGTCGCGGTTTCCATCATCTTCCATTCTTCAACCGAACTCGGAGCAGAAAGTCTCAGATATACAGGAGCGAATACTTGTCGGCTTTGTTCGATGCACCTTTGACACACGTCGGAAGCGAGGCTTGAAACGGAACTTCGGAGAGGATTTGAAAAAGGAGCCGAGTTGCAATCCTTTCTCCAGGTCGGAATCTGCGGAGGCATGTTGTTCCTGGCGTTCGGGGTCCACGAGTTGCTCCAAGGCGTCGAGACAACGAAGTAGGCACCAACAGACTACCTTTCGCGGTTCAAGATAGACTGTGGTGGTGGAGATCTCAGAATGCATCGATGCAACATCGAACGCACAGTGCAGAGATGCAGATCGACAGCTCATTGAAAAGGGGAACGTTGAAAACATTTTGCGAGATCGAGAATCGCATCTTCGGATCAGAGCATTGCGTGTGCTCCACTTGATCCAGTAGGAGCTAATTTCAGCTCCTTGAATTTCTTTCGAAGGTCGAGGAAGAGCAGAGGTTTTAGATTGCTTCGTAAGGCTTATCTTTTGATGGAAGTTCCAGCTGATTGTCTATGGTCTTGGTCGGTGTGCATTGGCTCAGGGACTACTTTTGATGGTGCAAATTGGCGGCTACTATTAGCTTAATTGGCAGGCTAAGGTTGGATGTCTTGTGTCAAATACCTTAGACTGGCGGACCCAGCTCATGCATGATGCAATCCGGGCGCGATATTTTGCCTGCTGCCAATGACAGAAGGGGAACTTGAAACTCATGCATGCCGTTGAATAAAGTCATATGAAATCAACTGATTGCATTGCATGAATCGGCCCCCCGGCGGCGGGGCACAGCTGATGCATGTGCGGGCGCGGCCCTGGCCGGTCCGACGCGGCCGCGCGGCAAGCCGGCCGCGGGTCGCCGGCGGACAAAAGTTCACCCGCACTTCGACTCCGTTCGAAAAGTTCGACTCCGTTCCGTAAATGGGTTGCCAGGCCGGTTCCGTTCTGAAAATGAGAAGTAGGTACCTAGGAGAAGTACCGTACGTCTAGGAGAAGTACCTAGGACCTCCTACTCCTAGGACCTAGGTACGGTACTTCTCCTAGGCTAGGTATGTTGAGACTCAGAGTCAGAGCAAGAGGAGGAGCCAGGAATAAGATCCGAGACTGCAGTGCGGGAATGCATGGCGGTGGCGCGACCTCTGACACTGCAAAAACCTTGTCAATGCTAGGTACCTAGTCTCCCTTGGAAGAGCACAGCCATCCACGACCGCAGAAGCGAGCACTGGCAGGTCTTCTATGAAGGAAACCGGTTGAATGTTCCAACTCTACGCCGGTACCACGCAAATGTGGCACCTTAAGTGATAGTATGCTGGCCACCCGCGACATTGCACGAAGTGGAGGCGAGTAGAAGTCTGCTTGTGCAGGAATGGCTAGCGCACACTGCCTGTTGGCGCAGAAATGCACGCTTGGTAGTCCAGCATTGGTGCATCATCTTCCAGGGGCAAGCAACAGACTTGAAAGCAGCTGCAACCCTGATCTGTTTGTCAGTGCTGCACATGCTCCTCATGGACACCCCGAGTTGCGACGAAGGGCGGCAGGGCTTGATGGCGCACATGCGGGTAAGATTGTAGCAGTCCACAGAGTCAGCAGATCTTGGTTTACCGTGTGTTCATTGTCATTTGTCATTGAACTTCAGTTTCAGGTATCATCGTCTGCCTCCAGCAACGCAGTGCTTCCAGGTGGCGCTTTTGGTGCGGTCTTTAGCCTGCTGTGAGTAACATTATGTAAGTGCCTGTGGCAGCGGGAGGGTCCCATGCCGCACGCTGTCGAGCTATTTCAGGATTTTCAATCTCAGTTCGGAAACATTGCTGCAGGTTGCCATTCAAATCTCCGGTTGGTAAATTCCGCACGAATACGGCATTGGCGGCGGGCGTCCTCAAAACGAGAAGGGGGCCTCGGGACGGAGGAAAAGGAACGAGAAAAGGATAACAAGAAGGCCGCCGAAAATGGCGCTTCCTCGGGGGAGCGAGAGAACGGGCTGCCTCCAGGCCCGCTGGCGGACATCGCGCAGGCAGCGGAGAGCGTAACGGAAGCCGCCACCGAGGTGCTTCATGAGGTGGAGCTAGCGACGGAGAGTCTGCAGTCGTTGATCGAGGAAGTGCCAGCACCGGTGGCGCCAATATCAGAGCAGAAGACAGCGCTGATAACCGTGGCATTCTGGGTGAGCATCACGGAACTTTTTCTGCGCAGGGAAACAGTGGTGCGGATGTCGGATGGCTGGCGCCAGAAGGCACAGCTGATTTGAGGAGGGGAGCGCTTGGCCTTCTGCTCGTTTTTGTGTCCAGATTGTAACCATTCTGGGTATTGCTTCTGGACCTTCCAGCTGCCTGCAGTTCTTTGGCAGTCTCAAGCACACAGAATAGATTGAGAAGTTGCCGAGTCCAGCGAAGTCTTCCAAAAATCGCTTCCCACAAGTCTCATATTGCCACTACCTTGCCACAAAGGGCAGGGTCGAGTGCGAGATATCACAAGGACTGCAGCTCAAAAAGTCTCTCTGCTCACGTGACTAGTCGTCGCTACTTTGCAACATTTTGAGGGTCACAAATGGCAGGCACAGGGTGGAACGCGGTACTGATGCTTTTTGTCTCCGTAGGTTGCTGCGGCCGCTGTGTTTGGAGCTGGAGTGGGCATCGTGCAAGGGCCTGGCAAGGCATCCGAATACTTTGCGGGGTGAGCTGGGGGCCAGTGAGAACACTGAAACGAGAGGGTCGAGTGGCATCATCAGCAGTATGTGCGTCCTTCCCTTGGTTCAAACGTTTTGTGGCAGCTGCGCCAGTTTGTGTTGCTGACGTGGAAAGCTGGACGGCTAAACAATGTTTTACCTTGATTGCTGCTCACATCGTCTTGTCCTTGCAGGTACATCCTTGAGCAGAGCCTTTCGGTGGATAACTTGTTTGTCTTCGTGCTCATATTCAAATACTTCCAAGTGCCATTGGATTACCAGGTGGGTCTGCAACCGATGCTACGACTTCGTACGCCATCTCAGCTCTCGCCCAACAACTCTTCTTCCGAAAAGCCCTTTGTTTCTTCACAGCGATCGGTTGGCCTGACCCACAAGTCTACGTAACTTCAATGTCACCTCGCTTTTCAATCTGAAATGATCTGTCGAGCCTTCATCACAAGCAAGACCGTCCGGTCCTGCATGCTGCTCTTTCAGCAGTTCGCTGACGACACTTTGCCCGTCGAGCATCATTAAGTGACTTTCGGCTTCCTTGTGTGTTGCAGAACCGCGTGCTGAGTTGGGGTATTGCAGGGGCGGTTGTCTTCCGGGCCCTTCTTATTGGACTGGGTGCGGCAACCGTGCAAGTAAGATGACCGGTCCTGGAGGGGCGATGCGCAGGGTGTCTTTGCATGGCCCCAGTCCTCGTTCAACTTCCAGATCGTCCAGAACAAGGTCGAGAGCAACCGCTTACCTGTAGTGCGACGATCAGACATTCCATCGACTGCGAACGCTTTTGGTAGGAGAGAGATGCTCTTACGCTAATCTGAGCCAATGTTTTACTTAGATCGCGTAGGCTTTCTCACCATCTCTCCGCCTTGCAGGAGTTCACCGCTGTCAACCTGGTGTTTGCCGGCATCCTTCTCTTCTCCTCCTTCAAGCTGCTGCAAGGCGACGATGATGAGGATGAAGATCTGTCCGATAACTACATCGTCAAAACGTGCTCCAAGCTCATCAACTCCACGGGTGAGCCGCTCGCTGACCTGCCAAAAGCAATATGGATCTGTTGGCCGGAGAGTCGACGAATCGAGCGTTCAAAAGGCTTGCTTGCAAACATTGGCGATCTTGCGACGCGCATGCCAAGTGCAGCTTATGCCCGATCGGGATGCCACGTCTGCGCACAGGTCGTATATCCAGGCAGAATGAAGCAGCCTCGGCGACTGGATGCTATCAGACTTCGCCTTCGTAGCCAGATTGATGATTCTGTCGCTGGATTGCGGGTAGACGGCTGCAAAGAGCGAACTTCGACGGAAAGGGCACATCAGTTTCCCACTGAAGCAATTTCTCGCCGCAGATTACTATGACGGGAACAACTTCTTCACTGTGGTGGACGGTGTCAAAAGGGTGAATGTCCATCAAGATCTTTCCGTGTAACCTGATCTTCGTCCCATCTGAAAATGCACCCCACCTCCATGCGCCTTTTTGAGATAGCTTCTCCTCTGCAAAGGGTCTCCGCTCAATCGGCTTTGGATGCATCCTGATTGCTTCTGAGTGTGACTGCTCTGCACGCGTCCTTGGGATCACACCGTCTCCCAGCCTTGGCAGAAGAGCTACATACTCATCCGCTGACTTTCTGCGTCCAGGCTACCCCGTTGCTGCTGACGTTAGCCGTCGTCGAATTGAGTGACATCGCCTTCGCGGTAAGGAGCCGGCCACACAAGGAGAGCATCAAACACCCGGGCCGTCTGTTCGGAGACCCTGTGCTTGTGTTGAGTTGAGTTAAGTTAAGTCTTTCTGCAATGGGTCCCGTTCGCCTCTTGGTCAACCACGGAAAGTCGGTCTGTGTGCAACTTGTCAGCCTGAGCTTCTTGTCCCATCACCGATTCTCCGGTATCCTGAGACATTCGCCATGCTCCGTCGTTGGGCCGCAGGTCGATTCCATTCCCGCCGTCTTCGGAGTCACCCACGACCCCTTCATCGTCTTCAGCTCCAACATCTTCGCCATCATCTGTAAGTCGCTGGGCCACCTTTTCTTCTGAGAGCCCATTCAGAATCTCTCACATGGCAAGCACTAACTCGTCTTGTAGTGGACAATGAGTTTGAGCTTACAGAACTCTGTGCAACGCCTTCATCTTGTGTAGGGGAGTGAGCACGGTTGTTGTACGGCGTTCTTTCCAGTACCGGGCATGCGACAGTGATATCCCGCTTCAACAAAGACGAAGAGCAGCAGCGTACGAGAATACTCTTGCCTTTGCAGCCACGCTTACACCGCCAAGGATCACAATGGTCGCCGCTCCATACAAGCTAGTTTCCGACCAGTGTTTCTGACGCTGCATTGTTATCCTCGGCAGGCCTGCGGTCCTTGTACACGCTGGTGGCGGGAGTGATGAAGGACCTCCGGTTTCTCCAGCCGTCCATCGCCATCGTCTTGGGCTTCGTTGGGGCCAAGCTGATCGCGGAGTTCGCTGGTGAGCAGTCTTCTGGTCTGCCAGAGAGTGGCTTTTGCGGGGTTGATTACGTTTCTCTGATGCGAGAAGTTATGGTCTAAAGATATCACAAGTGACGTCTCTGTCGTTAGATCCGAACTCACGAGTCCGAAGATTCTGAGAAGCTTTGCAAGAAGGCGCAGGAGAGCCGTACTTAGACTTTGCTCGATGCTTACCTGTTGTCATTTATTCGTGCAGGCCTTCAAGTGCCCACCGAAAGCTCGCTCGCCGTTGTGATTGGAGTGCTGGGCAGTGGCATCTTCCTAAGTTTGAAGTTCCCAGAGGAGAAAGAAGATTGAAGAACGCGCCAAGCTAGTGACAATCAGGTTCTTCGTTCTCGATTGCACGCACTCAGTAGTGACAGGAATCCCCTTTCGTTGAAGGTCCGTATGCAACGGATCTTGTAAGATACTACCATCAGTGGATGAAAATTTGTCATGAAAGGACGCTTGCGAGGGTTAAAGAGGGCACTGTACAAGGTCCTTCTGCTAAATTGCATTTGAAGTATTGATCGGCAAGATTTAGAGCCGTTTGCTTGATTGCTGGAAACAACCTTGCTGAGTTGCTTAAAGTGGCTCATGTAATCTCGCCACATATCTTGTCCGGAAGATTGAGGTCGTCGATTGAAGGGAGCGTCAGTGGTAAAGGTAGACCAATTCTGCACTTGATAACAGTCGTTGGTTCTCAAGCTCGAGTAGCCGAACTCGCATCATACGTTTATAACACCTAGTAAAGAACACACAGCAATTGAAGCACAAGAGTTAACGTTTCGACTTCCAGGCTTGGCATGCATGTGCGAATCCGAGATGCATGAGGGTTTAGAGGCTTGCTATGTACGGTACATGCAAGAGCGCATGTTAATTCAAGGCTATATCAACCCGCGATTGATATAATCCTCAAACGGGGTGACCCTGCATCCCTAACGGCCGGTCGCATTCATTGGACGGTGATGGCAAGTTTGAGTCTTAGCTACACGATTCAGCTGGTTAGAGACTCACCAAATTATAACTCAACGGCATCGATCGGAATTCTGTTGGATCATTCCAGTCGATCGACCGCGACGGCCGCGCCGGCTGATTGCGACACTGAATGAATGCATGCTCCGGGCCCTGGGCCCGGCACCATGATGTTTGCATACATAATGCAATCATACGTCAGTCAGTCCCACATGCCACATGCAGTGTATGCGACTCATGCAGCCAGCTTAGTATAGGCCGGCTGCGCTTGCATAATGAAGAGTTCAATTCTTCGAAAGACTTGACTGCATCCGGACCGCAACCAGTAACGATCTTGACTCTATTATTATTTTGTGTCATTGAACTGTATACCGTCTTTTGCAAGTGGCCGGAGCGACGTTGAAGATACGATTGCATCTGCGCCTCTCTCCCTCGTTAATTGTACGCGTTCTCTGTGGCCGCGCTTCCAAATGGCCATGCCTATTATATGCCACTAGCTTACCCTATTTTGCATATAAATGTACAACCTTCAGTAAATCCACATGATCACGTAATGTTCAGGCCGGATAACACGCATGCTTTGTAGCCATTTCTCCCACGTACCGCACCTTTAGTTGATTGCCCTCATATCCCATGTTTTTACCTTCGTTCCCTGATTAGTCTGCAGCAAGCTGGAATGAAGCTTGATGCATCCGATAAACTGTCCAACACGAAGCACTTATGCGGAGAGCTTGATTCCACGAGACCTGGCTTGACAGAGTTATTCCAACTTACTTTTCGAGCATGCCATAAACAAATCGACGGGCGGTCACGTGTCCTCGGCGGCGGCGGGCGGCGCTTTCCGCATGGCGCTCGCCCGCCCCGTCGTCTCCGGTTTCCGGAAGCGGGTCGCCGCGTACGACTTGGCTTGCCCCTCGCGCTTGCCCAGGCTCTTGAGCGTCTTCACCCGCAGCTCGTCGCGCGTCATCGGCCGCTCCTCCATCTCCTCCTCGTCGCTCTCGGACTAAACAACGCGAAAGAAACGAGTCAACGGGGTTCAAGATGTGTATTGCCAGGCATCGAGGCCCCAATGCGGTGCTTCGAATCTTCTTCCGTGTACAGAAGCACGAAACAGTAGCAGTCACAAGTACACAAGGCGCACAATTCTACAACCGCTTCCGATTCGCACCCCACTGGTTACAGCTGCTCTTTAGCATGCTCACAACTTTCGAGGAAGCCGAACCCACACAACAGAAACTTCTACCAGCAAGGACGACGTTTCTTCGACCCTGAAATACTGGACTTCTGACACTCGGAAGACCTTCTGGCCCCCTCACTTCGGTTTGCATGTCGTCAGTAGTCGACGGCGGCTCGATGGCGATGGTGGTGGCCCCCGCGGGCGTCTGCGGGCCTTGCCCCAGGATGCTGCCAATGGTCCCCAGCACGCCGTCCAGCCCGCCGCCGCCGTGGCCGCCGCTCTGGCTCGCCGCGTACAGCTGCAGAATCTCGTTCGTGCGCTGCTCGATGATGCCCAGGTACTGCAGAGAAAAGAGGAGATGGGTAAGCAGTCAGCGGGGAGGAAGGAAGGAGCGTGCTTTGGACCGCTGGAAAGTGAGCTTTACGCTTGGCCTTTTGTAAGCGTTCAGCATCAGGTCAATCTACGCTGTACTTTTGTAACGTTTGCCACAAGCTGGGTAGTTCTGTTTTTGAGGTTCCCTTTTTGAGGGAGACTGGTTCTCAACGACGTCTGCAACTCGGTTAAGCAGCAAAAGTTGGATCGGCGACCATCCTATGCCGCCATTCAATCCCAGCATCTGAAGCTTCTGCTTGAGCCGGTGCTTGTCGGCCTCGACAACCGGGAACCTTTACGACGGCCGTGCTGCCTGCGCGCCTAGGCGGAACAGCTTCGTTCCGTGACATGAAAGCCCGTGTTCCCTGCTATAAGCACTCGACTCATGAGAAATTGGGCGGGGCCCAAAGAAAAGAAAACAGAAAAAAAAAACTGCCTGTTACCTGCATCATGTTGGACTCGGTGACGCCGGCGTCGCCGAGGAGCTCTTTGACGGCGGGCGTGGCGCAGCCGATCTTGGTGAAGATGTTTTGGATGCCCACTTTGAGCGCGTTCATCGTCTTCTGCGCCACCGCGTGCTTGCCCTCGTACACCTCCGCCTTCGCCTCCGTGCGCACCAGCCGGTCCTCCAGCTCCTGGCAGCCGGAACGGACGGACACCGGAACGTCAGAAAAGCTGCTAAAGTCTGGACGAGAGACTCAATGATCGAGCGTCTTGCTTGAAACGGGAGTACAGTGATGCAAACGCAGCAGTACTTCTTAAGTGAAAGTAATCTTTTGAGCCACTTTTGCTTTCTGGGCTCCTTACTCGAAAAGAGCGGTGTCCTGGCTGCAAGCATGAGCAACGGGCCGTGTTGAGCACTCTGTTTACAGAGACTGTCAGGGCTTCGTTATCCCGAGGTTCAGAAAGCCCTGGCATTCGCCAAGGTCTTGAAGGCAACCGACATGTTGCTTGCGAGATTTTGAGAAAGACCGGTAACAGCGTGAAAGGCTAAGCGGTTTTGCGCCTCGCACGGCGCGTTGTGCCACATCTTACCTTGAGTATTTTCTTGCGCTGGTTGTCGGTGTTGACGCCCTGCCCCTTGTACTTTTCAATCTCCGCCTTGATGTCCGCAATCTGCTCCTCCAGCTTCTCGATCTCCTGCACCACGCCACACACGCGGAGCCTGCTCAACAAGCAGATGGACACGAGTGCGCGAGCGGCCATTCCCAGGCGCTGGTAAGGTGATTGAGAACCAGTAGCACAAGTGTCAGTATTACTCAAAGGCTTAGTCGTAACCTGGAAGCAAAACCTCAAGACCGTCCCGCATTGTTCAGTAGCTTCGGCAGACTCTGCGGACATCGACGCGGCCTCCCTGCCTCAAGAGACTCGGCCTTCGAGAAGTGGCGCTTCTTCACAGTTGCCCCGAGCACCGGCAAGCATGCCCTCCAAGCTCAAACACTGCACAGCCACCTCGCTTCACTCCACAAGTATCCATAGCCCCTTCGACAATGGCCCCGTTTCACGCGGGCGCACCTGGTTGAGCTCGTTGACGTAGTTGAAGAGGCTGAAGTTCTGGTCCTCCGCGTTGATGAAGGTGGTGACCAGCTCGTCGATGTCGGTGATCCCGGTCGCCTCCTGGATCTTGGCGAACGCCTCGCCGTAGCTCTGCACCTTCTCCAGCGACACCGCCTGCGCCACCTTGTCCTTCGCGATGTTCCAGTTGCCGCGGATCACCTGCGCCGATGGCGCGTCTATCACGCTGTGGTCACTGGGTGCAGCCCCGGGAGCAGCAGAACCCGGCACACTGGTTCCTCTTTGCAACTTTTCGGCACGCGAAAAGACAAACCCACACAGATCGTATCTTGTCCTAGCGTCAGCAAATGAGCGGTGGCCGGTGCGTTCGTTTGAACGCCGTCTGAACAATGTCTCATCCGGAGCTGGCACTAAGAATACTTGATCCTAGAGCCCATCTAAAGACACTGCTCACAGTTGTCGACCTGCTCACCTTTTTCTTGAGCTTCTGCTCCTCTTCCACGGACATGTCGCCCTTCTTCTCCGGCTCGGGCGGGGCCGTCTTCTCGCGGCTCTTCATCATGTCCTTCATCTGCGGCAATCAGAGGGCGAGCACTCGTTAGAGGAGCACGACAGACAAAGCGACCGTGCTTTAGAGCCCTGCCAAGCGATGCGGCAGTCAGACCAGGCTCCTGTCTGGATCTGCGGTACGTGGTTCCTGTGGATCACGTGTGCTTTTACTGTGTGCTTTTCTCCTGTCCTTAACCAGCCGGCTTCTGGCAGCGCTGTGCGACGCTCTGGTGCCTGTCTCCGGGACAGTGACCATGGCTGCTCACGGGTGCAAGGCGGCCCACCTGATGGCGGCGGCGATCCATGCTTGCCCGTCTCTTGTTTTCAGGCGCTTCAACAACACGTGACGACTCTCGTCGCGGATGTGCCGCAAGCGGCTCTTCAGCCCATCCAAAGGACCCACTCTATCTACTCCGGGTCCTTTTACAACTTTTCTTGCTACTCTTCGCGGGCGTGGCGCACCGGGCGGCCTCACCCGGCGGTCGTGCTCGATGAGCTTGCCGAGCTCCTTCCACTCCGCCTCGAACGCCGCCTGCTCCTTGTCCGCCTGCGCCTTGAGCGCCGCCATCTCGTTCACCGCCGCGTCGCGCGACTCGTACCTGCAGGCCGGATCACACGATTATCCGGTACTCCGCTCATGTCTGCATCCTCGCCTCGTTTCGATACACGGCCCCAGCTCTGCCCAGACACGGCATCGCAGAACTCTTCAGGGGCCATAGCAATTCTTGAGCGGACTTGAACGAGATCTGCAGGATTCACTGGAAATGTTCTAGACCGGGATTGGCAAACGCCTCAGGAAACATAGCCAAGTTCTTTGGGTATGCCGGTGGTACCCAGACCCCAGGACGTCTTCTCCTGTCACCTCTGTCTATCCGCTCTTGTTCGAACGTCAGAAAATCTACGTGTCCCCAGAAGGCGGGGCTACGTGGAGCCACTCACGCGAGGTTTGAGATTTCGATGATGTGCGCCATCTCGCGCTTCTTCTCCTGCAACTCCCGCTCCAACTTTTTGTAGATCTGCACAAACAGCAACTGTGCTCAGTTCCTGATAATCACACGTATTTGAAGGGTTTAACGTTCGCAAGGCTACTCCGTCCACTTTTAAGGACCCGATCCTAGCTCCTGCGTATCCAAACACCAGTTTCTAGTACAGGTAATCTAGTCAATACGTAGCGGACCGCTAGTCAGCGACGCGGTAGTTTTCTGACCTGGTCAAACACAAGGCGCTCCCGCCGCAGGTTGTCAATGTTTTCCCGGAGGGCCTTGTTGTGCGCCACCGCCTCGTTGTACTTCACCAGAGCCTGCCGCGAAGAAAGGATGGGCCGTCAGTATGTTAAAATCTGTGAATTTCCCAGGTAAGTGCTTGCAGAATCAGCAGCGCAGCAAGAGCTTGAATTCAAGTTTTGTGTCAAGACACATTTCAAAGCACGAAGAACGGCAACTCTCGTTACTAACTTACAGTACGATAGAGAGGAAATGATTGTCTTAGGAACTGGAGTAGCTTCTAGCAAGAAAAGCTACTCCGTTCACAATGATTTCTGTATCCGCTCGTGGACATTGTCTCGATTGCTTGCTTTAGGAGCGCAATAGCATATTTACACGGCCTTGCAAGCTTATCATCTCTTCTCAGGGAGATCCGCGGTCTCATCGCGAGGCTTAGTCCCCCGAAGCAGAAACGCGCTGGATCTTTACCTTGTCGAGCCTGTTCTCCAGTATCTTGATCTGCTTGCTGATTTGCGCATTATTCTCCTTTGCAGCGTTGACTCCCCCCATTTTCTTTCTCTGCTCCATGATCTGGAAAGGAGGAGCAGGCAAGCAGTTTGAGTACTGCAGAGAATCGCAATTGTTGAACACTGCCTGAATGGCACATAAGGTATCTAACGACGATCACGTCGATCCACCGACTGTCTGCTCTGGTTTCCACTACCATATCCTCTTGCCCGGCCTGTTTACGGCGGAAGGGTACTTCACGGCGGAACTAAATCAGTCCCCCTAAGCACAAGCTTCTCAACCTAAACACAACTCGATGAATAATGGCCTGCTCGCTGCCTGCGGCTCTTGCTTTCCTGATTGTTCTGGAATGAACAAACATACTCGTCGTTTCTTTCAGAGGCCCCTGTCTCAAGAGGAAAAAGGCCAGACTCTACCTTGACAGACTACGTCTACCAAGCTTCGATCATTGGAATGAATGACAGAGGCCGTTCGTCCCCCACCTTGGCGTTCATCTGCTGAATCTGCTTGTCCAGCTCCGCCACTCGCCGCTTCTCCAGCTCAATTTTGCGTGTAAACATGTCCGCCTGGTGGAAATCAAGAGTACGTTACGAGGCAGGGAAACAAATCCATTGACCGATTAAGCATTCCTGATCTGGAGGCCTCTCGGAATGTCCTCCGGCTTTGGGGACTGAGCGGACTTGGCAAACCCAGCCTATTGCTGTTCCTTCACGTACGTTACATCCAGACATTAGCTCGACAAGTGGACTGCTATTAGCAGTATAAGCGTCACACAGGCCCCACTTTGAAATAGGCCGCAGAAAAACGTCTGCCTTCTGCCAGGCATGTGGACGTTCTTCTGAGTCTTCGCACCAAGATTCTGAAGCGCCGAGAGCCCAGACCAACGGGTAGAAGACTTGGATGCCACACTTTTCACGGATTTGCTGCTTGAGCGTGAGTGGTGGGCCCAACTTACCTGGTCCTGCAGTTTCGCAATCTGGGCGGTCGCGCTGTGCGTAGCGGCCGTTGATGTAAACCGATTTTCCTGCTGGTGGCTGTCCTCCTTTGCCTGCACAATGCACATGCTCCCACCGGTGGTTAAACCCCCCACCCAGCACAGACACCGCAGCAGCACGTGGGACACTGTACTGGTGGCAGCATTGCTCGACCATGCACTTTATCAGATAAAAGGCTTCCGGAGTTTGCACCGGCAATGAGATTTTCGTGAGGCGCATGGCAGACTCACCAGCTGGCTTTTTGGGCGCCCCTCTCCGGGAAGCATCCTGCAAGTCCAGTACAGGATAACGTGAAAAAAGAAACAGCTCCATGTTGCACAGTGATGCTCTACAAATAACTCAGAAGAGACTGCGAAAGTGCCAAGCGACCGTTGAAAGGGAAGTCTCCTATTTGTAGCTGCCGAGGAGAAACGTGCAAAATCAAGCAGTTGTCCATTCCGATTGTACGATCGAAAAAAGGTACAGTTGTCCCTGAACTAAGTTCGACTCAAAAGACAATGCTGCCACACAGCTCCCCAAATATGCCGCTAGCTATCAGCTTTGCCCTCAAGGGACCATGCTGCTCTAGCTCAAGGGAGCAGCGCGGCGCACCTGGCCTTGCTTGGAGTTGGCGATATAGCTTCTGGGGACTTGCTTCCTTTGGGCGTGTTCACCGACACTTTCCGGAGCATCATGGAAGGGGACTCGAGGCCGCCGGGGCTGCCGGGGGTGGACAACGCACCCTCCGCAGCCATTTTCAAAGCCGCACCCCTGATGACGTCCCCAGTAATGCACCCAAAGAAGGAGAGGGGTGGCGCATCAGGCTGGTAGGAAGCTGCGTCAGCTTGCTAAGCGCTTTGCTGCATTCCTCTTTCTGCACTTTTTGGTATCTCTATTGGGTTCTTTATTTCAGCAATTGACAGGCTCAACATTGCAGACCTCCCCCCTGGATGAATTGGAGCACCTGTTGTTAAAGCTTGAACCCTTACTGCCTGCGACTGCGATTATGGGCTACTTGACTTTTAATACAGGATGATTACTCGGCCAATGATGCGCGTGCTAATCACCCTTGGGCCACATGTTCCGCATCACATTACAACGTCATCAAGCCCTAAAGCTCTGGTCTTCCTGCTTTCGCATAAAAGCTGCATTTCAACAAGCTTCACTTCCTAAATCTGCTACTGCCATGCAGTGCTTGCATGCTTACGCGCAACCGTGCAGCCATGCAATGAGCTGAACCTCCAGAAAGCTCAAGATGTACCAGTACTTGGCATTTGCCTGCTTACACTTTATAGGCTTCTTCCTTGAAGTGCTGGCGACTTTCGGTGGCTGATCTACCTACATACTCAATGCTAGCTGTACATACCAGGTATAATATGATACCTACAGTAATTCAAGCTGGACAACCGCTACCCTGGGGTGTGCGTCTAGCTTTGCCAAATTTGAAACCGTCTTCTTGATACATTTCGAGGAGGCACTCTGCGCGCACGTTTCCGGATACTCGCGCGCGGCTCTGAAGGCTTTAATCCAAACCCTAAAACCCTAAACACTATTATTAGTTTTTAATTCTAGGGCCAAGGAAATAACATTTTGCGGGGGCGCCGCCGTAGAACACGTATTCGTCGAACGGCCTACTCCTGTGATCCCCGGGCTTGTTGATCGACGACGATAGCTGAACAAATTTCCCAACATCGATCTGGAAGCGATTCGCCAATGATTGGACAATGGCGCTGAGTTTTCCGGCCTTGCATGAGCCTGAGGCTGCAGGCTGGCAAACCCCATTGCCATTGGCATCAGGGCACCAACTTGCGCTTCGCCAGCACAGCAGCACGGCAAGGGATGTGACGGTGACGAATGTTCTGTTCACAGGGTGAAGAATCTGAAGTCTGGGCATGTCTTTGCTCTAGCATTGCAGGAAGCTCCTCAGCAGTGCATGGCATTGAGCAGCGTGCTCGTGCAACATGAAAGCTGAGCTGCTTTTGATCAATCACAAGCTCTGAGCAATTCTTCAGGATGCTTGGGGTCGCGGTTCATTCTGGTCTTTGACATGACGCTGTGACACGTAGCTCAAGTGCGATGGCTGATGTAGAGGCCCCATTGTTTGATCCCCGTGAGGCTGATCATCATGATTGGAATGAAGTGGACGGAAGATTGTCAGAGGGAGAGGAAGATGCGGGAGAGGACGAGATGGGGTCCAAGGAGGAGGCCGAGCTCAGTAGGAGTCTCTCACAGGTAAAGCAGACAAACTCAAGCCAAGTCTTGTTAGTACCAGGATGAGACGCTTTGTTGAACAGCTCATGAGTGTTCTTGCTGGTCCGAATTCAAACCCATGTCTTTGTGTGCTACTTGGAGAACCACGCACGGAGTGCCTAATCTATGTGCACAAGGAAAGTGCCATGTGTTCGAAAGCACTTGCTGTGAGTACACATTGCTCTCGCTCTTGCAAGATATAAGCACCGGCAGGAACAAACCATGTTCTGCGGTATATGTGAATCTGAAACACCTCATCCATCATTCAGCATATGTGAAGACAAGCACGGAGGCAAAGATTAAGTTCGTGCAGAAAACCCTCACTATTATCCTCCTTCTAGTGACTCGCTGGCTTGCAAGAGGCTGCTGGGTACAAACCTCTTGTTTGCGCTGCAGAATGTTGCACTGGACCAGCGGATTGCCCGGGTTCTTGGCAATCTGGACAAGGTGGTCAAGGATCCCACTAGAGGAGGTGGGCCACTGCCTTTCATAGTTGCTTGGCTGGACGGCATAGACTGAGCTCGCAACATATGAGGGCTACCTACGCATCAGAGCCTGTGGACGCATTGCTTTGACTCGCAATTGTCAGCATTGTTTTGACTCCTTGCAGACCAATGGTCCGTGACCTTGTTGGTCGAATCGCACCAGCAGACACTCTCTGGAAGGCACCTCTTCAGTCAGAACAGTGATGGCCATGGATTTCTGTGCAAGTCCAAGTCACATTTGCGCCGTTGCAGCGAGCTGGCTAGCGAAGCATAAGCCTTGTTCTTGTCTGGTGTCTGCAGGGGTGATGGCCGGTGATTATGGCACCTTCATGCCGGTCCAAGTTCGCGGGAAGGCCGTTCCGCAGCGCTTTGTTCGGGACACTGGGATTGACATCCCCAGCTTGGGGCCTCCTCTGGACCCTGTGCCCCCGCGAGAGACCCCGCCGCTGGTGCCATCTGCCCTTCGACCGAAGACGGCCGCAAAGAAGCTGGCGATGCCAGCATCTACGGTGAGTGCCTGGCGATACCAGCATCTACGGTGAGTGCCTTGAGGCGGGTACCCGAGACGGAGGCCTACAGCATAGGAGCAGCGGAAAGTTTGGCGTTGTTCTTTGTAACTAGATTCGGGAGAGGACAGTTGCTGATGGGGTTTCCACCACAAATGGACAACTTATCTCTGAGCTTCGATGGCTGCACCAAGCGCAGGTCCTTGGCTGAAACTCCTAGGACTCCGCATGCGCAAGATTTCTGAGGACATCCGTAACCTCGTGCAGTTGTTGGTGAACGTCGATCCCAGCTTGGCTCCCACCAAGTCAGACGGAGCCTCTAGATCCTCCAAGCCGCGCAAGACCAAACCGAGCCAGAATGGTGCCCCCCTAGGCAGCAAGCAGGTAGCATCCCCGTACAAGCTGGGGAGTCTTGGGGCCTCTCCCCTTGGAATTGACTACGTTTTAGCGAGCGCGGCCCCCGTCTCTCCGCTCCTGAATTCGGGGCCCACGCCGTCAAGCACGGCCTCCACTCCTGAACGAAGCCCCGGATCAATCCTGCGGGTAAGTGTCAATCGGTCTGTGCTGACCTGGACGTTTCCCTGACTCTTTTCATTACACAGCCCTGCCTCACCTGCCCCCATAGTACCTCCCCAGCATTTGCGTCTGTGTGTAGCTTTGTTTCTGCGAACTTTGCGTAACTCTTCAAGAATCTTCGGTGGACTGACTGCCCGTGCATAAACCATTGACTTTTGGGCGGAATCCCTGAGCATCGCTGTTGCTGCAGATCATGACGGCATCCACTCTCCCATATGGGAGCTATGTCTCTCCAATCGGGGACCTTGTTTCGTGGAACCGTATGGCCCGCTCTAGTCGGCTGGGCTCGGTGCAGGAGCACGAAGGGATTGCGGCGGGTGCCATGGACGCATCTGACGAGGAGCGGGGGCACGACGGCGGAAGGGCTGGGGTCCACGCAAAGGAGGAAGCCAGGAAGGAACTCTGGGGGGCAGAGAGAAAGGAAAGTTTGGCCAAGAAGAGAGTCAAGGAAACAGAGCTGGGCACGAAACCGGACAGAGCGGCAGCACGTGCGGATAAAGAGCCGGCCGCTGCGGCACCGGCCAGCGAGGAGACGTCTGTGTTGGACGGCTTCTTGCTTCCCCAGTCTGGAGTTGCTGAGCTTGAGAGCTTCCTCCCCATAGAAAAGGAGCGGCTGCCGCGGGTGGGGAAGCGGCAGCTGATGCAGCAGCTGAGCGTGGACCAGGAGCGGCTCAAGGCGTTCCTGGGGGAGGGGGCCGCAGCGGGGGACCTGCTCCAACGGATCCCCCACGCCAACCTGAAGGAGATTGAGCGGCTGAAGAAGGAGATTGAGAGGACGGAGGCGATGCTGAGGCGGAAGCTGGAGGAAGATTCGGACTCGGACTCGTCGTCAAGTAGCGGGGGCGGAGAGAGTTGGGGCGCAAGGGATAGGAGTTTGGGCCGGAATGCGGAGGAGCAGGGGGGGGGGAATATGAGCGGGCCTGCTCGAGGGCAGAGTGCGGCAAAGTTCTCGGACCGGAAGGGAGGGCCGGGCACGGTCAAAATTGATGGAAGGGTTGATGGGAATGCAGAAGGGAGGGGACAGGAGACAAGCAGCAAGGGGAGGGAAGAGAGGAAGCGGCAGGGGGAGGTGCAGTCTCCGACGTCAAAGAAGGAGAAGCGGCTCCGGCTGATGGAAGAACTGGAAGAAGTGAAGAGAAGGCAGGCGCAGGAGGACAGCAAGGGTCAAGCGAAGCCTGCGGGCGAAGCAGCAGGGAAGGATGGGCGAACAGAGAAGAGGAAGAAGGACAGGGATACGAGCATCAGTATGGAAGCAGGAAGCAAGGACCACTTAGGAGCTGGGGACAAGGGATCGAAGCAGGGGCGGACCCCAGGGGCAGTGGACCATCCAGAGAAGCTGGGAGTGCGAGAAGGGAAGGGCAGTGAAGAAGAGCAAAGTAAGAAGAAGAAGAAGATGAAGAAAAAGCTTGCCGGGGTGGAAGTGACAACCACGATCCCCCATGAGAAGGTGACGGAGCGGGACGAGAGCCAGGATGAGGAGGGGGAGCGGCAGCGGTCGCTGGCGAGGTCTATGAAGAAGAAAAAGATGAAGCAACGTGAGCTGCCGGATGCAGTGGATGAAAAGAGACCGAAGAGTGGCGCGGAGGACAAGAGCGGTAAAGGGCGGCTCGCAAAAGAGGCCAGCGGGACCGACGGTGCGCACAGGTCGCGGGCCGTGATGGCGGCTGCCCGCGAGGCGCTGCCCGAAGCGGACCAGAAGCGGCTGCGTGCGGCGGCGGCCAATGCTAAGCTGGTGCAGCAGGCACAGATGAGCGGGGACGTGGTGGAGCTAGGCCCGCGGGTGGACCTTGGGGAAGACGAGTACGTGGGGTGCGACAAGTGCGACAAGTGGCGCTTCCTGCCCTACTGGCTGCACACCAAGCAGTTCACAAACATCCGTTGGACCTGCGACGATGTCGACTGGCTCGAGTGAGTGCGCCCAACAACACAGAGTCGCTGCCGGCAACTGCGCCGGAGCAAAGAGGGCAGAGTGCAAACCCCCGAAAACCGCGAGACTGGAGATGAAATCAGCAGTCCTCCTCCATGTCTCCAAGAGCTTGATGGTCTCTGTGCTGCATTTAGGAACCGCTTGTTTCACTTTCCCTGTATCTACTATCCGTAGTTGCAGAAGCATCCAATGTGCGGTGTCGGCAATGTGCTCCGGAGATGCTCGCATGCCCAAAGCTGCCTGTCAACGCTGTTAAGGAAGCTGATGCCAATTCTCTGTTTGCAGTGCGGCCTATGTGGGCTGCCATGTTGAAGACAAAGTCTTCGAGTTTCAGACTAAGCTGATCAACTACCCGCCGCTGGGAGGCTGGGAGAAAGTTGCTGAGGACATCAAGAAGAGAGGCCTCATCCCCAAGCTGCCGCCCGTAGTCGCGTCTCCCACAAAACCAAAACGCAGTGCGTTCACTCAACAAGGAGACGCGTCTGCTACGCTGATGCGCACCCAGAGTGCTGATAGGAAGAAGGATGTCCGCGGGGGGCCACTGGATGGGGTCGCTGGGAGCCCCCTGGGGCAAAGGAAACGGCTGCTGAAGGAGGGGGAGGCGCGCAGGCAGAAAGGGCAAGCAAAGGGTCGGGGCAGCGGGGAATCGGAGAGCGGGGGTGAGGAGGGGGGGGCCGGCACCAAGGGGGCCAAGAAGAAGCTCAAGAAGAGGCGGGCCGTGCTCAGCGACGAGGAAGAGAGCGGAGAGGAGAAAGGAGGGAACGCAGGCAAGGAGCAAAACGTTAGAGCGACTGTAGATGCTCCGCCAGGCAAGGGCAGGGATGAGGAGAAGGCGGGCAGCGTGGTCGCAGCTGCAGTCGAAGAGGAAGACTGGGTCGTGGAGGACGAACCGGGACGGGAAGAGGAGGCGCTAGCGGGTGGGCCGGAAGAAGACATGGGTGCGCAACATGGTGCGAAGGCGCAGCCGAACGAGGCGGAGGAACGTGAGCGAGGGGGGCGGGAGGTGGTGCGACCGGGGGCCGGCGAGGAGAGGAGACGAGAAACAGAGGCGAAACGGAAGCTGGATGAGGAGGACAGGGAGCAGCCGAGGGAGAAGAAGGCGAAGACAGAGGCAGGAACAAGGAACAAGGAGGTTACAGAAGGGGCGAAGGAATATAGGGAAAGGGACAGGGAAGGGGTTGAGAAGCAGCAGAAGCCGGAGGCGCAAAAGGAGCAGAGAGAGGGGTCAGAGGAGAGGGCTTTCAAGAAAAAGTTGAAGAAAGGCAAGAGGTTGGCAGAAACCATGGACGGCAAAACATTAAACGCTCCTACCCCGCCAGAGGTAAGCACGACAGCGGCAGGGGACAAGGTTAAGGTCAACGATAGAGGAGATGGAGACAGAAAGGGCGAGGCTGAGGGGCGGGAGACGAAGAGACGAAAAACAGAGGGGAAAGACGAAAAGCAGGGTGAAAGGGAAAAGGAGGGGGGTTACAGAATCGATCTTTCTGGGGGGCTCGGTGCCCCGGCGGAAGCTAAGGGGGAGGCTGAATCAAAAGCTAAGGGGGAGGCTGAATCAAAAGCTAAAGGGGAGGCTGAAATCCAAGGAGGGACTGATGTCACGGGGGAGACGGTACCGGAGGTCGTGCAGACTAAAGAGCGGGGCAGTGAAAGAGGGACAGAGCCGGTGTTGAAAGTGAAGGGCGCGGACGTAGATAAGCTGGAAGGGTTGAGTACTGAGGGGGCGGGAAGAAGAGAGGCCGGCACGACTGGGGTAGAAAAGAGCAGTGAGAAGCGGCATCAACCAGAGGGAATGGGGGGAGGAAGGGCGGAAGAGACCACGGGAACGGAGAAGAGAGCTGATACGCAAGCGGGCGTGGGGCTAGTAGCAGAAAGAAAAGAGGTGACAGCACCGGCGGGAGGGGAGCACCCCTTCTTGGAAGAGGACGCGGACGCGGACAAGGAGCGGAAGTCTGAAGCGGCAGGAGCTGCGGCGAGTCTGTCGCGACTCAACAGCTTGGTGCCGAGACAGGTGCAAGTGGCCAGCCGGAAGGTCGTCCCTAAGGACGAAGAGAGGGGCGACAAAGGGGCAGAAAAGGCCGAACCGAGTAGAAGTGAGAGAACGGCAACGGAGGTGGAGAAAGATGGACCTACGAGCGTCGATGTCAAAGCGGCACCCGGCGAGTTGAAGAAGGAAGAAACCGCACCGGATGCAAAGAGCGCTGCGTCTGGTAGTCGACGAGTTGCTGCGGAAGCGAGGGCGGCGCCGGTTCCCCCGGTCGAGAAAGCCGCTGTTGAGGCGGACGTGCGAGCACCTGCGAAGGCGAAGCGGGCTGAGCTGTCGGACAGCACGTCCTCCTCGGACGTGTCGTCATCCGACGTGTCGTCGGACGGGTCGGAGCTGGCGGAAGAGGACGTGGTGCAGCCCGCCAAGGGGGGGCGGAGCGCCAGGGCGAGGGGCAGAGATGAGCCGGGGGCGGACCCCCCCAATCCAGCGCGCAGCACGGTCTTGCAGGTGTCGCCCCCCACTCGGCGAGGGCCCAGCCCTCTGCGGCTGGGCCGAAGGGCGCCCTCGGAGGACCGCGACAGCCCTCCCCCGAGCAGAACGGAGTGGCGGGAGCGCGACAGACGGGACGACAGGGACCGGGACAGGGGGTACCGGAGTGAGAGGCGGCGCAGCCCGGGGCGGCGATGGGGGGAGCGAGAGAGGGAACGGAGCAGATACTATGACGACAGGGGTCGCGGCAGGGACTACGATCGCGACTACGAGCGGGATCAGGACAGAAGAGGGGGGTACCGCAGGGGGGAGTCGCCCCCGTGGCGGGACCGGAGGGGCGGCAGCGAGCGGTTGGAGCATGACAGGCGGCGGGACGGGCGAGACGACGACCGGCTCTCTGCGGGGGACCGGTCGCGGTCGCGCTCTCTCGGCAAGGAGGGGGCCTTGACCAGGCGGGACGGGCGGGGGAGCAGCCGCCAGCTGTCGCCGCTGCCCGAGGCAGGCTCCGGCAAAGACGCGGCCGTGCAGAAGAAGGAGGTGCCGCCCGCGGCGGAGAAGCCGCCCAGCGTTGAGAGCCGGGCCAAGGGGCCGCTCGCCAGGGTGCTGCCTGAGGTGGGGGGGCCGGGAAGTGCGCGGAGTACCCCCCCGGTGGAGATGACCGCGTCGACGCCGCCCCACGTGGGGGGGTCCAGTTCCACGCCGGCCCCGGTGGTGAAGGCGGCCAGCGAGTCGAGCCGCATGGCCGGTGCCATGGCGCCGCCCCCGCCTCCGGCCGCGGCAGGCGGGGCGCTGGACGAGGCGCACCGCGTGTTTGGGAAGCGGATGAAGGAGGCCAAGGACACCAAGCACGCCGCGGATAAGCTCAAGGTGAGCGGGCAGCAGCGCAGGGGCTCGCGGTCGGGGCAGCGGCCACGGGATTGGCTTGGTCACCGGCTCAGTGGATGTCCTGGGGGCCGAACGCTGCAACCTTCTTATGAACTTGAGGCGCGTACTGAGGTGTTGGATGAATAGAATAAGGATAAGTGGGCACAGCAAAAACGTCTTCGCTACATCTGAGCGCGGTTAAAACTAGCTCAAAGCGGACTCCGCCGGGGCTTCCCCTTCTAACAGAAAACTAGCGTCTTCTCAGCACCAGTGCAGACTTCGTTTTCTTTTTGATGTGCGCATCTCGTTGCTTCGTCGGTCGTTAGCTCAGCAAGCGCGTCTCTCACATTGTGTGTGATCATGTTCCTTCTAATGCACCCGCTATCTGTTATTCATCTACCTGCTCTGTGTCGTTGGACCTTTGATATCTCGTCATTTCCGTTGCGGTCGTCGCCTGCTGTCGGTCCCTGCCTCCCCATTCCCTTCTGACGTGTCTTTGCGTCGCTGCCTGGTGCAGGAGCAGGGGCAGGCCATTGCTGCCATGGTGTACCTGGATGCGGCACTCAAGTTTCTGCTGGCGGCCTCCTCCATCGAGGTGTTCGATGCCAAGCAGGCCTCGTCCATCTACCGAGAGACCGCGGCCTACCTCGAGTAAGGGACCAAGGACTGACGGCTTGTGGTCTGCCCGTACCGCTGACTTGACGAACATCTCAACGAGATCCACCTGGATGTGCGGGCCACCCCCAGATCTGTGCAAATGAGGATCGTTGCAACGGCGATCCATCCGCTGTCGGCACTATCCCGCTTGCTCTAACGCGCACGGACATTGCTTGTAGACGGCTTCAAATGTTGCACGCCATCTTCTTCATGAAATCAAATGAGTTAGACCCCAGAAAAGTGGAAGTACGCGCAGCGGATCACAAAGAGCGTGCTCTCACCTTCTTCCCGTCCTGTTTTGGTGGCAGGGGCCTGTGCGTGGGTTCCTTCAGCTCCAACCAGGACCTGGCCGGCGAGGCGCTGGCGTGGCAGTGCAGCGCCGTGGCGCGCACGCGCGCTCTGCAGGCCGTCAAGGACCGCGCGCTCAAAGACCGGGCCGCGCTGCACGAAGGCCTCATCCTGACGGCCCCCACCGGGGCACCTGGAGCCGGGCCCCGGCCCCCGTCAGCAGGGGCACCGGCCACTGCTCTGAACCCGGGGAATGCACACCCAGGAGTGGTGGGCACGCCGCCGGGCACGATTGGTAAGTGGTTCCTTGCCCTAAGTGCTGCAGTTACGGCTGTGGGCGTCTGCGGTGGGCACATGTTTAACAGAGACCGAAGCAAGGGTTGAACGGTTCGCATGAAGCGCGCCGGGCTGTTTTGGCCAGCGCCTGAGGTGGCCGACCACAGGTACACAAATGTCGGTCTGTGTGCGGTAGTGTACCTGCGTTGTGGCTGCCTGCTAACCGCGTCCGCATCTGAAGAGTGCTCTGCCGCTTCGACAGCCGGGTCGCCGTCCTCATCGTCCGCATCGGATGCGGACGCGGCCTCCCAGGCCGCTCTGTCGCTGGGGCCGCACCAGCGCGAGCCGCTGGGCCACATGCTGCACATCGTGCACGAGCACTTCAAGATCACGGCCTGCTGGGCCCAGGCAGCCAACCTCGCGGGCCAGGCAGCCAAAACGCTGGGGTCCGACGCGCTTAGCGCGCTGAACGCGGTGGGGGAAAATGGGGGGGTGGGAAGCTTGGATAGCATTGTCCAAGCAGTGCGCATTGCCCTAGATAAGTTTGGCGCTTAGAATAGTAGCGTGGTGTAGGTCAGAAGTGTTTGTGAGCACTAGCGGCTCCGTCAATTCATCCATCCCAGATTTGGCTAGGGCGTCAGTGAGTCATTTGTTTTGTGGATTCATTGAGTTGCAGTCTACTAAGCATACGCCGCATTACTTGTTAGACGGACTCAAATCAAGCTTTGGCCTGCGGGCTACGCACAATCCAGTGTATTGGAGCAGCCGGGCGTGTTCCTCCGGCAATAGGTCAAAGTGGCAGTCGAGATTGGCTGGTGAGCCTGCTTGTCTGCCAAGCTACATCATCCGACCCTCCAATTAGAGTCAAATACTAAGCGAGTACTGGACAGGCTTCGATTAGACTGAGTTTTGTAACTTGTGGACGTTCGGCGGCTGGCAAACGTTGAGGAAAACTGAATTGTAGGCCCCAAACTGCCAGTGCTATTGGATGCTTCTTAGAGGGCCTATGCTAGTTCCTAATGCGTTCGGTGCAGGTATGCCATACTTAATGGCATGCAAGTTTGCATGAACTGTACGTTCACACCGTACGCGCTCAGTCACCAATCTTTTGTGTGCACCGCCATATGAAGACAGATGCTAATCGTGTGCATTTATGGGCCGCTTATGTTGAAACATTTCAAACTGCGTCAACTTTCATGCAATCAAGGACCCGGGGTGATTGCATCATTGCACCTGTCCAACGATATCCGCTGATTGGACTCGGCCTAATTCGCTTCATACAAGATGCCAGATAATCCGTATGTATACTATAGCTACAATTACTTTCGTCACTACGCACGCCCGTCTTGTGGCGGCAGCAGTGCATCGCCGGTATAATTATCATAATACATATATGAATAAAGAGTAATTTTGATCCGACGTGATGATGCACGCCACTATATACTGTACGTCCAATAGCGGCGGCGGTGATTGAATGACTTTTGTCGCTTGAACCTAATTGCGTGCAGCATGCATGTACTAAACTGCACACGTGCATCATCAGCTGCCAGCTTGCGTCATGATTGATCGATGCAGTTACCGTATACGGCATGTTGGCCTCAATACAATATGGCATATAACTTTATTCAGGCATGCTGCTCTGGCTGCAGTGCTGGCCGGGAGAATTGCAGCTACTAGCAATCTATAGGCTGCATTGCGGCGACGACTGATATTGCCATGATGGTAGAAAAGTCTGAAATAACAAAGGATGCTGATGATGTGTGCGCGGCGTACTGCTTCAATCGACATGTGAACCAAGCTTCTATATATCACGCACAAACCAAAAGGCCGCCAGATTGTCGCGCATTGATAAGTTAGCATGGAAATTAGCAAAACTTTTCTTGCGGGCTCTACTTGCTTACCATACCCGGACCTCTGTAGCGCGTTTTCCATGTTCATGTACGTTGCCACTGTGGGGCTTTCGTCACCAACGAATTTTCAACATGCCGTCTCCATCCGACTATAGAAGCAAGTTCCTTTCATGCAAACGAGTCTGATTGGGAGTTGATAGTCGTTCGATCTCAAAGCCATGCATTTTTCTTCCATCATTTGGTTCATTGTGGTGTGCCAAAACGTCTCGTATTCTCTCAGCCGGAAGCCTTGGGAAGTATTTTCGACAAAACACCACTTTGCAGAGCTTGATTCTTGACTAGAGAAGCCAATCTCCATACAAATTGCGAAGTCCTTGATCTGATCATGAATCTGAAGTGTCACGGTGAGACACCGTTGTTCAAACACGCCCGCTTCATTCAAAAAGACAGAGGCGGGTCATGGATCCTGTTTACACAAATGCAGTTTGATTCTTATCTGCAATGTGACTTGTCCTTCGTGTCGCTTGATCTATCATCTATGCTAAAATGATACTACGTATCCGTTCTAAGGCTCACCTTTTTCCCCGTCAACTGGAATTTTGAGTTCTTCGTGGCCTGCAAATGCCCCAGAGTGAGCGTCAGACTCCTCTTAGAGCATGCAACATCTCTACAAAAAAAAGAGCTGTGCCAAGTACGTGTGATGTGAGTCGAAATGCAGACCGGAAGAGACTTTAGCTGCCAACAACGATAGAGCCCAGGACTCTTTCCTTTCCTGCTCATTTTACTTGCGTAATTAAACTTCGACACGAACAGCCTCACAGGGTCACGGCACTTCGAAGCACTAGAGGGGCACCAACATCACCGTTAGCACACTAGGGTCCCACGTCGACTCACTTGCACCAAAATCTGCTCTTGGAGAGCCTTTGTGGACACCTCTATTGCGAGAGTCGCTTGCGATTGCACGCTTTGCAGAAGGCTTTTGAGGCTTAGAGTGTGCTTGTCGGCCTGCAGGTGGGAGACAGCAGAGGCTCGAAGATGATCTGGCTCAAAACAGTTCCAGCTCTGAGTTGCTCGCTTTTGTCCATGACCGCCCAAGTATCCTTATACATTGACGAGCTTTCTTTTCAGTCTGCTCCTGCACCATACCGCAGCACCTCGAGTCCTCCACAAACCACGATCCAAGATTGATATCAACAAAGGTGTCAATCTGCACTGAGCTTTCTTCGAGTCTCTTGTGAATCATGCGTCATCCAATCGAGAGGCACTCAGCAGGCCAGCATAACAAAAGTTTAACCTTCACCTGACCACCGTCAGGTACAGAGTTCGGCCCTCCACACGACAGGAAGGGAAAACACATGCCCCTCACCTCTTGCAGGGCAGCTTGCATCATCTTCCGAAGCTTCCCCGGCTTGATCGCAGCAGCTGCAGCATCCCCTGCATCGACTGTCGAAGCCACAGCGCTTTCATTCGCAGCCCTTTTAATCTTCTTCACTGTTGTTTCACTGGCCCCAATCGCTCCTCCCGAAAGTGTGCCCACGCCACCGTCCACTTCGCGTTCCTTCTTTCCTTTCTTTCGCGCGCTTTTACCCCCCTCATCGACGTCCGTAGCTATCTTTTCCCCCCTTCTCTTTTTGCTCTCTTTTCGAGGGGGCTCGTCTACACCGTTCGAAGGCTCGCCCTGCATCTCGTTTGCCCCATGAGTTTCCGGCCCCTCCCTGTCTCCGACCGCAGGAGAGTCCGCCTGCTTCTTCTTCCTACCCTTCTCCGCCAGCTCCTCCCAGTACTGCTTTTCGTCCAGCACTTTACCCGCCTTGCCGTTTTTCGCCTTCGCTTCCGATTTCCCGTTCTGCTTGTCGTTCTGTCCGTTCTGCACAGAACTTGTTTCCTTGTCCGCCGTTACATGTTCAAGTGAGCCATTCTCGGGTGGTTTGGATGCAGCATCAGAGGAACCCGCGCCCTTCTTCTCCTTCTTGCTCTTCTTTTTAGCTACAGTGCTTGAGTCTTTGACGACAGCCGGGTGAGTGTTGCTCTCCTCTGCTAATCCGCTCTCCTTAACTTTCTCAGGGGCCTCCTCTTCGACGCCCTCATTTAGACTCATCACTTCCTCGCCTTTGCGTTTCTTGCCCTTCTTCGTTTCCTTCTTCAACCTGGCTTGTCCGTCAGCATCTCCCGCTTCCGCGACTGTCTCTTTTTCTGCCTCCTGCATAACACCTGGAATGTCTTCCTTTTGCTGCTTCCCCTTCTTCCGCTTCTTCCCAACCTCAGCAGTGACTTCATGCTGCAAATCATCCGCCCCAACATCTCCCTTTCTCCTTTTCTTCTCCCCACTCCCCTTGCCGTCTGCCTGCGAATTCCCGCCCATGCTTGCCTTCCCCTCCGCTTCTGCAACCCCCCCCTTTGCCGCAGTCCCGGTCACAGCTCCGTCATGCTCATCCCCGTTTTCCGATTTACCCCCCTTGTTCTCCCCAGTCGAAGCAGCCCCAACAACCCCCTCTGTGGGCACCTCCTTTTCTGCCTGGGCCTTGGCGGCTGCCCTGGCCTTGGCCCGGTGCTTCTTCCCCTGAGCATGCCCCTGGAGCGTCTCTTCGCTGGTGCACTTGACTCTGCAGAGGGTACACTCCCAGGGTGGCCGTGTCGACAGGCCAATCGTTAGCTCCAGGTTCTCCCCCCCCTTTGCAGGGTTCTCCTTTGAGCCAGCGCTGGGGTTTGCGAGAGCCTGGCGGAAGGCGTCCCTGGGCCCATATCGCACCTGCACAATAAGCATTGGGACACGTCGGGGCATGTCACAAGAAAAGTTCGATTGGTGATACCAGGGGTAAGGAAGGTCCTCTGTCCAACTGGTTGAAAACATCTGGCATGACCTTTTCCTCCAGGAAGAGTGCATCAAATGACCCTTGCTAATGACCCTCTGCTTATGGTGGTAATAAGTTGACACAACGTGCGGATGGTGGTATGAAGTCAACAGACCACGCTTAGGGTGGTGATGAGTTGGATAGACAAACAGCTGATGGTGGTAATAACTTGAACAAATTGACACATCAAATTGACAGTGGTGACAACTTAACTGCTCATGGTCGTAAGTGATAAGAACAGGGGGCCAGAAGTTACGCCGAAGGGAGAACGCAGACGCAATATCTAACCTGACATGAAGACTGTTATAACTCTGAAACTCTGAGGAAGAGTGAAGAAAGGTGGGCCACGCTATGCTGGGCATGTTGCTGTGAATAACTCAGGACACCAAATAATCTTGAAAAACTTTCTGTGGATTAACAAGGTTTGCCTTTCAACTTAGCCCCAGGAAGACCTTTACCGATCACATTGCCAACCAGGTGGATATGACATCAGTGTGAAAGCAGGAATACAACGTGCCCCAGTCGACTTACCTCTTCAGTTACACACGAAGTGTGCCCCTGCACAGACTGGCGGTCAAACACCACCCCACAATCGATACAAGACAGCTGCACACGGAAAATCACATCATCAAACAATCAAAGAGCAAATGGCAACACCTTACAGGGAAACAGAGCATTTGATGTCCTCACAATGTGGAAAAGGGTGCCACCACCGGTGCATCCGACAACGTTGCCAAAATGACAACCAGGCATTGCTGCGAAGCAAGGTCATTTACAACACCTGCACGTAGGCTTTGAGATCCTGCCCTCCATAGGAATTATTCCAAGATGGTAAAAGCACAAGCAGGGGGTTTCGCCCGGATTGGAACAATGTGGGAACAATAACTTACTTTTCGCGCTGCGCATTGTTGAAAGTGGCTCTGTAGTTTCGGTTTCTTAAGGTTATCACCACAGCTTTCACATTGAAACCACACCATTGTCACCAACAAATGGCTCGTCGCCTTCAAGTTGACCACCAACCAATTTTCAAATGGAGTGCTAGTAGCTCAGACTCAGATCTTCCAAGTTCCCATGCACTGATGCAGATAAGGTACAATATACGGTAGATCAGGACCGCAAAAATACTGTGTTTGAAAGTCACTTGGTCTACTTTAATATACGGTACTTATCTTGCTCTCACCCCTCCATCATCTGGTCAGATGGCCGAGCGGTCTGTTACTTGAAGGCGCCAGCTTCAGGTGTTGCGGGAATCTGCTGGTCTTCGAGAAAGGGCTTACGTTTGAAATGTTTTCCGCCGTCGATTAGAGTCGGATGCCTGTATTTTCGCGATCGTGTCCATCCGTTAGCGATTTGCCGATCGGACGGCGCCGGCGACAGGGACGGTTCTTACAGATGGTTTTTTTAGCGATATTTTATTTGAAGGCTGCCGCCTCATCGGTCAGATGGCCGAGCGGTCTAAGGCGCCAGCTTCAGGAGACTGGTCGTCGAGAGAGGCCTTCCGTTTGAAATGTTCTCCGCCGTCGATTAGAGTCGGATGCCTGTATCCCGCGATCGTGTCCATCCGTTAGCGATTTGCCGATCGGACGGCGCCTACGATAGGGACGGCTCTTCCTGATGGTTTTTTGATGATTGATATATGAAAAGAGTGAGGCGAAGCCGAGGGTTGGGGTGGTTGAGCCAATCACAGTCAAGACAGTCGATGACTCTTTCAACCGTGAGTGGCTCGGACAAGTCATCGGACGGTACACGTGAGCAACCGTCTTGACTCTGATTGCACCACGCTGGCAACTGTCTTCACTGTGGATGGCTTACTGTACCATCTCAAACCCGACCGTCAGATCAGCCCGGGTCTGCATCTGACGGCCCGAATGTGCAAGATCTTCTGGCACCTGTAAGTTCAGTCACGATTTGAAAATTGCCACGCTGGCATGGCTGCCGCTAGACTTAACTCCTGAGCTCGCGCCTCAGGTTGGTTCGCTGCACCTGCAAAGCCTCTTGCCGCAACACAAGAACCAGGATGAGAGGTATGCCATATGGTCATTGAAGAGAAGGGCAAGAGAATGACAAGCCTATCAGTCTTCTGCCAGCGCAAGCGGGAGGCAAGCGGAGCGCAAGCAGGGCGCAAGCATGGCCCTTAAAGCGAGAGTGTTGAGAGAGCAGCTGTTTGAGCAGTCTGATTACTGAGTGCAGAGCCGCAATATGTCAGACATACAAGCCAAAGGTAAGTCGAGATTTGGTAGAGAAATTGTGTCTATCATGGCGAGTCTCTTTTGTCATGACGCTGGCAGCTTTGAGGGTTGCCGTTCCGTCATCAGGATGGAAACTACTCTGAATGTTGGCCCTGGCATTAACAGCAGCAGTAGTACAGCAGAGATGGATTT